AAAGACAAATGCAAAGTGCTCCACTTAGGAAGGAACAATCAGTTCCATACATACAAGATGGGAAGCGACTGTCTAGGAAGGAGCATGGCGGAAAGGGATCTAGGGGTTATAGTGGCCACAAGCTGAATGAGTCAACAGTGTGATGCTGTTGCAAAAAAAGCAAACATGATTCTGGGATGCATTAACTGGTGTGTTGTGAGCAAGACACGAGAAGTCATTCTTCTGCTCTACTCCGCGCTGGTTAGGGCTCAGTTGGAGTATTGTGTCCAGTTCTGGGCACCGCATTTCAAGAAAGATGTGGAGAAACTGGAGAAGGTCCAGAGAAGAGCAACAAGAACGATGAAAGGTCTAGAGAATATGACCTATGAAGGAAGGCTGATAGGATTGGGTTTGCTTAGTTTAGAAAAGAGAAGACCGAGGCGGGACATGATAGCAGTTTTCAGGTATCTAAAAGGGTGTCATAAGGAGGAGGGAGAAAATGTGTTCGTCTTGGCCTCTGAGGATAGAACAAGAAGCAATGGGCTTAAACTGCAGCAAGGGAGGTTTAGGTTGGACATCAGGAAAAATTTCCTAACGGTCAGGGATGTCAAACACTGGAATAAATTGCCCAGGGAGGTTGTGGAATCCCCATCTCTGGAGATATTTAAAAATAGGTTAGACAAATGTCTATCAGAGATGGTGTAGACCATATGTGGTCCTGCCATGAGGGCAGGGGACTGGACTCGAACTCTTGAGGTTCCTTCCAGTCCTAGTATTCTATGATAGCTGGTTTGGGAAGACAAGACATCACTGTCATCAGAATACATAAGCCACCTAACAAGGACATATAGCATAGCAGGAGTCACAGGAAACTTTGTGGTATCAACTTTCATGGAGGATCAAAGCACCCCTGACAGTGTTACACTAACCCAAACCTCTGCTGCACACAGACCCATGGTGTCCAACCAGTTCTGAAGCAGTAGCCATTATAGTGGCTACAACTAGAGCAAACTATAGTCACACACTATTGGCCAACTAGCCACATTGTTCAAGCCACCTAGCCACACTCAACCAGCCAAACAGCTATATGTGGCTAGTGGCTAGCATGTTGGACACCATGGGCATAGACCAATGCAGGCAAACTACTGTAGGATTCTCCGTCAGACCCATGATTGCAATACATAAAGGCTGAATGGTTTGAGAGGTGCCTGTCCTTCAGATGTTTGTAGGGATCTAAAACTATGAAGCAGAGCCAAAAGATTTTGAGACATAGCATAGGGGGTGGCCTTTAGCATAGGAACAAGGACATGGCTTGTCAATCTGAAAGCATGACAGAAAACAGCAATGAGAACAAAGCTGCATTTTTCATCCCTGAAGATCGAATGGTTTCTCTTGAGCACTGCTCAAACAGGAGAAGGAGTGGTCAAGCCAGCAGTCTACATGTGACAACAATCCGTTTGGGATGGAAAAGTTGGGTTGCTGATTCCATCATGCCAAATGGCAAGTGGAGGAAATGGAGGTTATTATGAATACCGCAAACATACTATGGCAAGAGATTTCAAAACCACTAAGAACACATTGAGGAAACTGATTTGTTAGCATCAGACACTATTGCTAATCATGTTTAAAAACCAGTAATGCAATATGGGCCAGCGATACCTGATTGTCATTTCATACCAACTCATTTGAAAGAAGACTGCAGTCAATATCCTTAAAGACGTTTGATTCCAAATGACATTTTTAGGATAGTCTAGCAGGTAGTCATCTCTGGAAAAAAGACCAACGCAGACTAGCACACTGAGAGACAAGAGAGGTACATAAATCCTACTCCTATCCCTAAACATTAGCTCAGTTCTTGAAGTTTAGCATTAGCAAGTGCCATTTAAGTCACAAACACACTGGGTGCCAAGAGCTTTGATCAGGCAAGATGAGGAAGTCATGAACGCACTGCAGAGATGATAGACAAACTATGTGCCCTTCTCTTCCTCTGATGGGCTATTAAGTTAGCAAGCCATAATTTCTACAGGAAACATCAGCAGCTGAACTGACTTGTAGAAAGATGCATTAAAAGTGCTGCATTATAAAATAATTCTATAGAGCTGTAAATTCACATGATGTTTTACAGAGTAAGGTTTGTTCCTTGTGCTAGTACCGATGACCAAGGTCTTTAGAAAAGAGCAAAGTTACTGTTCTGAAAAACATGGTTGCTTCCATCACCAGCCATCTGCTAAGACATGCAGTTCATAATTAAAGTTAAACCATATTAAATCCCTGTACAGATGCTCTTACTCAGAATTCAAGTGGCCTTAATTGATGGTAAAGCCATCTAAACTGATGTTAAAATCAAATTAAGACCACTTTAATTCGGAGTAAGAGCACCTGTAAAAGTATCTACTGCAGTTTAACTAAACCACTTTACATTCGCACCTTTTGTTAATCTGAATTAAATTTCCTGAGAATCCCTGTGCAGACAAACTCATAAAAAGAGGGGAATTATTTTGTTTCCATAGGGTGCTTACTCTAAAGCATAATGACCACACAAAAGGCAATGGTGACCATTCCACAGAAACATCCAGACATTTAAGCACTGGAGAAAGAGGTAGACAATTAACATTCTGCTCCCACCCACACTGACCCCAGACACAATAAAATGCAGAATCCGTTCTGGAGGGTTTGGAGACTTCATGTTCCAGATTTACTACTAGTCCTTTAGGCCAGAGTTGACTTCACAGTAATGGCCTAAGGAAATGCCTCCCTGAAATGGGCATCATGGCTACTTTAATGCCCATAATCCACAATATTTCAAAAACACTACCCCTTTTCAACAAGGTGCTATGGATGATCATTAGTGTTACAACCACGGTAACAGTGAAGTCAAGGGAGAATCATTGACTGGGGTGAGGCGCTTGGTTGGGATAGGGATGATTTGGGCATATGATTCCTCTTGTAAACTTCACCATAGCTCTTGAGAAGGCAACAAAGACCCACAACTTTTTAGAAAGAAGCCTGTTGTGAGTTCATAAGAAGCCTTCCAAATGGCTAAAAACGTGCATGTATAAACACCAAGGCCCTTCAGTCCTACTCTTCCCAATCAGCAAACCCAAGCAGACTTCTAGTTGTCTGACTGAAAACTGTCCATGGTCCTGAAACCTTCAACGTAACCCTAACAAATCAGACAAATTGTTGTGCATTTCCAATCTCCAAATTTTGCTGCCATGGTACTCGGGAAAATCAGGAGTCAGGAAAGGTAAGTTGGGCCATCAAGTCTGCATACTGCACTTATTTAGCATTTCAGCCCCACCTTTTGACACCACCACAGAAAAGGGGATGTAGTGAGAGGAGGAGGGGCTCAAAGACTGTTTCCTGGCCTACTTTTGAAGAACTCCCTTGATGAGAGAGAGAGAGAGAGAGAAAGAAATGGGGACAAATTTAATAGAAAAGCACAAATTCTTCCAAGTGGAATTCAAAAAAGCTACTTTGAAATTATAGCCACAGAGCATCTCCAGGAACCTCCAAAGTTCTGTGCGAGTTTAAAGCTAACCTTTTTTATTGGTTGTGAAATACTTGGAGTCCGTCATGGTTCTGGTTCCTTAGCACACCTGCAAGAACAATGAACATTTGAATAGAAGTTGCAGCTTCTGTTGACCCACTATTCAAAGCATGCATTCAAGAAAAACAATGGGATCCCAAAAGGGAAAAAGCAAGGGTTCTGTATACCCAATTTCAAAGGTTTAAAAACCATGTTGCCATGCCAACTAATAATATAATACTGGATTTTTAAAAAATACGTTTCAACTGAAGTTTGGTGGCAAAACACAGCAGGTGGTTTCTGATAGGGTAGGAAAGGAGTTCAACAATTTCCCATGTTTTTTCAATCCTCCCTGGTGAGGATGTTTTTAATTATACTGAGGAAAAGGACCTTTGAGTGCTTTCCACATATTTCAACCTTCCTCTCCCCGCCCCCAATACCACACAAAATAGACGTTATATTTAAGTGTGCATTTATGGAAATAGATTTGTGTTTCAGAACCACCCATTTCAGACAATGGAGGGACATAAATAAGGAAAGGGTAGCGCTCCCCCTACTGATGCATTCTGGGGCTGCATCCCAGAAGGAATTGCAAAACCGACTGTTCCCCACACACTCCACAAAACCATTTTTTCCTCGTTCTTCATAACGAAGCATCGATTTTCACAACAGTGTTTTACAAGAAACTCATGGAAGCTTGAAGCTGAAATCTTTTCCGCCTCACCATCCCATCTGCATTGGTGTGTTACTACAGGGCTGAACTGCAACCTCAGTGTGTTGCTATAGGTGTGTTGGGTGTCGGGATAAAGTTGCATAGGCACGTTGGTCTGTTACTGGAGGACTGTAGTCAGAATAGCTTCTTGAACACTTGCACATTTGTTTCACAAAACTGAGTGGATTACCAATATGATATACAAATTACCAGGACTTTATATTAGGGATGTTAAAGACTAGTTTTTTGACTAATCAATATCCCCCCTTTCTGCCTCTATGAGAGAGAAGCAGCAAAGGGGGGGGGGGAGGGTACTTCAAAGTGGCAGTGCCGCACAGTGGCGCTGCCACTTTGAAACCCCAAGGCGGCCGCTGCATAGCTGATCCATGGACTCCCCAGCTGACCCTGGGTTCCATGTGGCATGCAGCATAGCTGTCAACCCAGGCCAGAGAAAAGATCAACTCTGACTTGAAGTTCTTTACCTGAGATAAGAACAGCTGTTTAGGGTATGAATTAGCACAGTGGTCCCTACCCTTTTGTGGCTGCTGGGCCCCCGGGGGCCGCTCATGCGCCGCGCTTCCAGGGGTGGGGCCGCGCATGCGCTGCATGCCCGGGGCAGGGCCACGCATGCACCCAGGGCCTGCACCGCGCATGTGCCACGTGCCCGGAGGTGGGGCCACCCACGCGCCCTGCGCCAGGCACCGCACATGTGCTGTGCACCCGGGGCAGGGGCCACCCACGTGCCCTGCACCTGGGGCTGGCACCGCGCATGTGCCACACACCTGCAGGCAAGGCCACCCATGCGCCCTGCGCCCAGCACCACCCATGTGCCGCACGCCCGGGGCAGGAGCCAGCCCAGATATTTCGGCGGGCATACATAAATGCCCTGGTGGGTGCCATGGCACCTGTAGGCACCGCGTTGGGGACCACTGAATTAGCACATAAACACACTTTAACATCCCTACTTGTTTAACATCCCCACTGAAAATTTCTGCGGTTATGTATGGCCTAGGGGGAAGTCAGCTCCCTACACATACCAGCCATAATGGCCACCCCAGACAGCTGCCTCTGATACAGAAGCAGCAGCGCAAGAGGGCAGGTGGCTTCCCATGCATACTGTGTGTGAGGGTTAATCCACTGAGCCCAGGCTCATCAGTTAGCCATGTTACACGATTACACTTTCACATCCCTAGTAACAAGTTTCTTAGTGGATTAGAACTAGCTAGGTGGTTTTTTTTTATTTAGTAATTTACTTCGATCTGTTTTCACTTGCAACCACTTAAATTCTACTTTTTGTACTTAATAGAAACATTCCTGTTTATCAAGTCCAGTGTAAATACCTGTTACGGGGGGCGGGAGGGGGGAGAATTGTGCATCTCTTTTTCACTGATGAAGTGGGAGGACCTTATGAGCTTTCACTGTGTAAAAATTTTACAGCGCAAGACAGATTTATGTGGGGTTTGGTCCCTTTTGGGGGTTGGTTTCCTGGGTGCTGAGCCCTCCCCCCCGAGCTGAACATGTTCAATGTCTGTGTTGCTCTACAGGGGGTGCTAAGCCTTGTCTGGGGAAGACTAGAGGGTCTGGCTCAGCAGGACATGGTGATAGGGAGCCCCAGAGAACAGAAAGGCAGGTGACAGTAGCATAAGCAGTACACCCAAGGGGACTTCTGTGATTCAACTCATCCCACTATCTCTCTGTCCCACCCAAAACCCAGCAGGCCAGCATCACTTCCTGTTTGTGCTGTTCATGAGGTGGGGGAGGCGGGGGAAGGTTAACCTGGGGACCCTAAACATATCCTTTTGGAGTTTCTGATGCTATTGAACCCCCTTTCCCTGATATTTTGCTTATCTTTTCAACTCCCTGATCAGATCTTGCCTGTGGTATTCGTACAGGTGTATCCATTCACACCCCAGCAACTACAACAACATGACCTTGATCAGGATTGTTCACGTTGGTTCTGCTACTGCCTTGCCAATAAGCTAGCTTTGTGTCTGGGAGCAGCAACACAAGCGGCAATGTTTAAAGACAGGGACAGAGGAGAAAGATACTCAAAAAGCCCAGGCTATGGCACCATTCTGAATTTAAATACCTGAAGCTTACCACTGTTGGCAGCAATCCCCACAGCTTTCCGAGAGAGGAAATTGCTATTAGCCTCATTTCGTAATTAAAAATGCAGCCTATTTGCAGCTGCAATTCTATTGCAGCTTCACAGCTTAGCCTAGTTTGAAAGAGGACTTTGTCTTTCACTTACTAAAGCATCAGGCACAACACCATTGTTATGAGCACTAATGTAGCTCTTGCACTATGCTGTAGTTTTCTTATGCACAGGGATCTTTCACTTTGGCCAGAACCGCCACTGATTCAGTCTGCCATTCTAATAATGGCTAATACCTGGCTATTTAAGGCAAGGCCAAAAATCCAATAATGCACTGAGATGGGGCACCTGCCCTGCTCTGGCCTAAGAAGGGTTAAATCCAGCCTTGGAAGAGGGCTGGGGCTGTGGAGCCAGCAGCTATGGCTGTATAAATGAGGGCTCCTAGAGGGGAGGAGACACACACTCTTGCTCCAGCTGTGGAGCAGAAGAGACCTGGCTGCCAGGGAAGCTATAGAAGCTTCCTGACACAGGCCAGGGCTGGGGAGCTCTGAACAGGCAAACTTCCTGGCTGAGGCCTCTCTCTCAAGGCCTGAGTGTCCTAGGACTGAAAGAGAGCCAGAGCAGCAGAAGGCATTAGGTCCACCCCCATGCCAATGATGAGTGGCCATTTCAGACTTCAGTTTGCCCAGAAGTAGGGTCTAGATGCCAACTGGCAGTGGGTCACTGAGGCAAGGTGGGCACAGGGTCTTGGGGGTTCCCTGAAGGGAGGGCCCCACAGTGTGGAAGTACTGCAGTAAGACAGGACCCAGAGGAAAGGGCTCTGCAGTCTGGGAGGAACATGGGAACAGATACATGATGGAAAACAGATTAACAGGAAGGTGAGACACCGACTGGAAGGGGGCGCGCCAGTGCCAACAGGAGCTAATCCCTGAGGCTATGTCTACACTCACGGCTTCTTGCACAAGAAATATGCAAATGAGGGTAAGCGTGGAATATCACTGAGCCTCATTTGCATACCTAATGAGCCACCATTTTTGCAAAAGAGGCTCTTGCGCCAGAAGAAACTGTCTACACTGCCCCTTCTTGCGCAAGAAAAACCTTCTTGCACAATGCTGCTACACTGATTATTTTCAGGAATAACGGCATTGTGCAAGTGGGTTTTTCTTGCGCAAGAAGGGGCAGTGTAGACAGTTTCTTCTGGCGCAAGAGCCTCTTTTGCAAAAATGGTGGCTCATTAGGTATGCAAATGAGGCTCAGTGATATTCCACGCTTACCCTCATTTGCATATTTCTTGTGCAAGAAGCCGTGAGTGTAGACATAGCCTCAGGGATTAGCTCCTGTTGGCACTGGCGCGCCCCCTTCCAGTCGGTGTCTCACCTCCAGCAGGAGCCACTGCTGTGGCGAGTAACACAATGTTACATGCACATTTAACTAATTGCGCAATGCTACACAGAGGAGGAAAATGCCTTGCTAAACTTCACAGGAGACCTTTATGCCCTGAAGCCCGAGATTTCATTAGCCTTATTATTTTAGCTTGCTTGGTTACAAATGTCATTAGCACTCATAAAATTACTCAACTCTGATTTAAATCTAGTCACAGTATGTGTCCTAATGACCTCCTGATTTGGCAGATTACAAACAACATTTATGACTATTATTTTAATAAGCACCATCACCACAATACTCTAAATACAATACAAAACTGCCTTTCCCCAGGGTGCAGAGTATTGTATTTCACTATGTTGGAGCTAGCTTCAGACATGCTGTCAAAGGCAATTTCCCACTGGTGCTCAGTATAATCTAGTTTACTAAGAAACCCATTATAGGGCACAGTGAGTCTCAAGTGAAACCTAAGAAACAAAGAGCAATGTGAGAGCAGTGATTCACAAATGACAATGGTTTCAAATAACCATCAAGGAAATACACAGATCAAACCAAGAGGAGAGTTGAAAAATTTTTCAAGATGGAAAACAGGGATTTTTATGAGCAAGAGCTGAGGGATGTTTAAAGAAGACTGAGGCTGTAAAGATGAGCGATCAAGCTCATCTTTGTGCTCTTGCAACCCAGTTGGTATCCAACCAGCACCTGCTCAGCTCAAACAGGTAAACTGGGAATGGTTTTGAGGTTTGCAGCAAGAGGCCTGTGCTCACCCCAGATAAGAAAAGAACATGACAAGGAAATACCCCGCGGGCTCGGCTCTGCTCTGAGCGCGCTGCTGGTTCACACGCATGCGGTTCCTTTCAGCCTCCGAAATTCACAAGGAGACTGAACCAGAGGGGTCTCACCCCGTGGCACACGCCCTCCCGCACAACAGCCTCCAAGCAGCGCGGGGCTCGCACCCGCCACACCCCGGCCCTGACCGCCCAGAACCGGGGCGGGCGCGGGCTCCTCTTGTGCCCGGCCCCGGGGCCCCTCGGGGCGGGGCCGCTCGCCTCAGGGGGCCCCAGGGGAAGAGTCCGGGGCTCAGACCGGGGGGGTAACCCGGAGCCCGCCCGTCTCCCGGTGACACCCGACAAGGCGCCGGGCCCCCAGGAGCGGGGCTGGAGACAAAGGGGACCCGCCCCCCAGCGGGGCCGCGCCCTGCGGACCCGCCCCCTCGGCCTCCTCAGAGCCCCCCAAACCCGCGGGCTGCTCCACGGCGGGGCCCGCTCACCGGGCGTCGGGCGCGGTCCGGGGGCGGGGCGGGGCGGCCGAGACTCTCACACCGCTGCGGAGGAGGCGGGGGCCGGGAACCGGAAGCGGAGCGGCTCAGGGCGATAGAGTTCTACCCTCGCCTAGCGCGTACGCGCCGCCGAAGCCATAGAGACGCGGCTGGGGGCAAAGAGCGCCCCCTCTTGCCCCCTCCCACTTCCGGTCCGGGCGACCCGGCCCCGGGGTAAGTGTGCGGCCGGGAGACCCCCCCCAATCGCCTCCCTCCCGCGCCCCGCCTCCCTCCCTCCTCCCCGGGCGTTTGACGTCACTCGCACGCCCCCGGGCTGCCCCTCCCCCAGGGGACTCCAGGAGCCAGCCCAGGGCCCCTCAGCGCCGCCGCGGGGACTCCCAGCGCTGCTGGGCACGGCGGGTCCCGCGGCGCACCCCTAGGGTGGGGCACGTCACCGCACCTGCCCCGCCCGCAGCCCGCTGCCTTGAGCTGAGAGGGACAAACCTCCCCCCTCTCAGTCCCTGCTGCACGGGGGCGCCATGGCAGAGCGCGGGGCTCACCTCACAGCCGCCTCCGCCAGCGATGACACACCGTCCATCTTTGAGGTGGTGGCCCAGGACAGCTTGATGTCAGCCGTGAGACCTGCACTCCAGCACGTGGCCAAGGTAAAGATGGACCCTCCTCCCCCAGCCCCCCATTAGGGAGGAGGAGGTAGAGCATGAGAAATGTGAATGTGAAAATAGGACTTGAAGTGAGTTTGGTGTTACACCTTTTAACTTGGCCTAATGTCTGTATCCCACCGCGCACGTGGTACCTTAGTCTCCACTTAGGAGCTTTTGCATATAGAATTGAAGTCTCATTGACTATTTGGCTCAGTTGCATTTATAAAACATTAGTGCAGTTGTGTTATATTACGGATAGACACTTGCCAGTATTTTCACTGGAAACAAATTGTGGCGGGGATTTTCTACTCCATCCTGCACAGACAAAGCTTTTGTGTCATAATTCTGAAGATAACTGACAGTGTTCCAGCTGAATCATAATTTTAATGTCAGTGTCAAGCATGTACTTGGGGTCAGTTACCTTATGCAGGAGGAGAGGTACAAGCTAATGGTTAAAGCAGTCTCAGGACTCCTGTAGCCTCTTCCTGGCTCTGACATTGATTTTCCAGAGACCTAGGCAAGTCACTTAATTTCTCCATGCTTTGGTTTTTCTCTCTGTAAAATGAGGGATAATACAGACTTACCTCACAGAGAGGTTGAGAGTTTTGTCATGTTGGGAAAGCACTTTAGTGACTTGAATGGAAGGTGCTATAAAAAGGCAAAGTGCAGTTTTAGGATACAGAACTCCTGTGCCTGAGTAGATGCATTGGCTCAGCCTTGCACAGATTGTAACCTCTCCATGGCTGATACTATAATGGCCCAGGAGCTGAGAATTCTGGACCCCCAGAAACTTAAAGGGCTCCTTTGTGTGGAAAACAAGTCCCTGGGTGGCAGGTATGCGATGTTTCTTTTGTGCTGTCAAAGCATGGGATAAACTGCCTATAATTACTGCACTGATTAGCACCTCCTGTGTTCAGATCACTGTACAAACATAAACTTGTCTTCGCAACAATCCTGTGAGGGAGTGAAACGTTCTCTCCAAATGACAATCAAGCAGTGAAGTTAGGTGGCTTGCCAAAGAAACAGATGAAGACAAAAGCAGAAGTAGGACTGACTGGTGCTCAGGTCTTGGCTCCAAGTTTTGTGTTTAGACAAGGGATGTTTAAAATCATGTAACAATGTACATTTTTCAAAAACTGCTGAGATTTTTTCAGCAGTTACATGGTTAACCAGGCCTCAGCCTCCCCAGGAACAAGGGAAGAGGCTTCCCAGGAGCAGAGCCGGCAGCCCTTGCTGTAGCAAAGCCGCCTGCCTGGGAGGCTGAGTGTAACCAACACCGTTAACCGATAAGTAACCGCTCAGTTAACCTGTTAGTCATTTACACTTTTACATCCCTAGTTTAGACTGCCTCTTTCTCTAGCACATGCGGGATTAGTGCCCAGGTCGAAGTTCTTCTGACTGTTGCCGATAATGCTAGTTTAGTTCCAGACATGAAGTACCAAAGCATCTATTCTGAACAAATGATCCTGGAGAGAAAACACAAATATACACGGTGCTTTTGAGACCCTGTTTCAGTGAGGATACATATGCAGTCAGATAATATTATAGGAGACACACTTTCATTATTGGGGAATGTGTCCCCGGTGAAATGCCCTTTACTCACTATGTTGATTTAGATTAATCAACTAATTGAATAGCTCTTGTACATTTCAAAAGCAAAGTGCCAGGAGTGTGGGGCCAACAGGGGACTGTTTTGAGTCCCCAGCTCTCCCCGTAGTGCTTCTACTTTTGAAATGGAGCAAGAGCCCTGCTACATTTCAAAGGCGGAAGTGCTGCCACTTCTCTGTGTCCCTGCCTCTTCTCCCCATGGAGACAGTGCTGGGGGGAACCAGTTTTTAAGCTGGCTGCACACATTGATACCACGTTGCCAGTTGTATACTGGTAACAAACTGAATGATTTAATTTTCCAAAGGACCAAAGTTCTACTAGCCAGTGTTTTATTCTGATCACTGCTCCAGTCTGTTTCTTATACTGGATACATAGACCAGAATTGCTTTAACTGAGTTGCCCTTTGACACTGCTTCCTTCCCTGTTCCACTTATGCTAGGTGCTTGCTGAATCCAATCCCGGCTGCTACGGCTTCCTCTGGCATTGGTTCGATGAGATCTACGCCCTCCTGGATCTGTTGCTCCAGCAGCATTTTCTCACCAAGTGTAGTGCCTCTTTTTCAGAAAACTTCTATGGCCTAAAGAGGATACCATTGCGAGACAGAAAGGGGCTGCAGCAGTTGGCCAGTGCTGGGCTACCAAAGAAGCAACACTGGAAGTCTCTCCTCTTGTTGGTTCTCATTCCTTACCTGAAAACAAAGTTGGAGAAATTGGTCTCCAGTCTGAGGGAAGAGGATGAATATTCCATCCATCCTCCATCATCAGCTTGGAAGCGCTTTTACAGGGCCTTTTTAGCTGCCTATCCCTTTGTAAACATGGCCTGGGAGGGCTGGTTTCTCAGCCAGCAGTTGTGCTATATTCTTGGGAAGGCTCAGCATCATTCCCCACTGCTGGGCCTGGCTGGTGTGCGTCTGGTTAGGTTGACAGCAGAGGACATCCAGGCACTGGAGCAGAAACTAGCAGAAGCGACTGCAGGCCAGCAGGTAGCATGCAGGTAAGTTTCAAAGGAGCCATGTACAGTTTAGAATTCTATGTGGGACTATTTGGAGCTGTCGTTCTATACCCAGATGGTTCTATAGCACAAAACCGTCTCAGTGTACGGGGATCAAAGAGAGCTCCTATAATTTTGAAACGTGTTCAAAGAAGGCCACATTGAGCAGAAGGGAAACAAAGTCAAACATCAGAGGTACCCAGTAGCAAATCTGCCTTAACTTGCATGGGTTCAGTCTCTGTGAACCTATTCAGTCCTTGGGAGCCCTTCTGAGATGGGCCTACCTACCCACTTTGGTGGTAAATTGTCCATTACTGGACTGGGATTAGCAATTCTGTTTCTACAGAAATCCTGCACAGAAGGCACTGAGTTGTGAACACTCCCAGCCTCAGCCTGCTTTGAAACAACAACCCATGAGTGAATTCCTTTGTAGCTCAATCCCGCTCCTTCCCACTAAGAACTACTGGGCCTCAGCCAACTTTCCACATTTCATGCAGGCTGTGATCAAAGAGCAAATTACACATACCTGAAATACCTGTTTTTTGTTTCCGATTCTAAATAACATTGTAAACATCAGGAACGTGTAACAAGCTTCCCCCCCCCCCCCTTAAAAAAAAAAGCAGTAGGTGACTAGCCCTGAAGCCTCTTTGATTTGTAGAGCTGGGAATTGCCTCTGAAACTATTGTCTGTCAGCACTGTAGTTTGCAGGCAGGTGACAAGGTGGAGTGCTAATTGTCTACCTGTATCTTACTCCCTTCTGCAGCATTAAGGAGCAAGTGCAATCCACAGTGAAAAAAGCATTGGGAGGTATTGCCTTATCCCTGTCCACCGGCCTCTCCGTGGGTGTGTTCTTCCTGCAGTTTCTGGACTGGTGGTACTCATCTGAGAACCAGGAGACCATCAAATCCTTGACTGCATTGCCTACTCCTCCGCCACCTGTGCACCTGGATCATGGCATACGCTCACCCCTCTTGCCAGCACTTAAGACCGTGTGCCCGTTGTGCCACAAAATCCGAGCCAACGATACAGTCCTTTCCACGTCCGGCTTTGTATTTTGTTATCGCTGTGTCTACACGTATGTCAAGAGTCACCAAAGGTGCCCCATCACGGGCTATGCTACAGAGTTGCAGCACCTAGTCAAACTGTACTCCCCTGAAAGTTGACTGCACTGACACTTACAAAGCAGATCCCTAACGGGTTCAAGCACTGCACACTCTCTAGCTTCTTGAGCACACCTTTTCAGCCAGCCGAACTGTGTCTAACATTGCTAGAGCAGCAAAGGGCACAGTGACAGTCTATTAGCAGAGCAATCAGGCTCTATCCAAGTCTGAGATGCTAGGGCGAGGTTGGCAAATTCAACCAGAAGGCTCTAGTACAAACCACTATCATAGACAGATACAGGCCTAAATGAAGCTCTGCTTGGGTCCAGCCTGGCACTTCCTACATTCCTAAGACTACTTCATCTTGGCATTCACAAGAGAGCTTTTACAGAACAGGGCTGTACCTACCAGTCAGGTTAAGCTGTCCCCTTGCTCCCCTGCAAATCTCCCCTTGGATGGCTCAGGTGAAGTTAGCAAGCCAGGCAATGCTAACAGGAGCAAGCACACTCCCTTCTGTCTGAATTGGGTTTATTCAGTATGTGGCTGAAGCCAGATTAAAATTGGAAACTACCCTGATTCAGATTTACTTTGCTGAATGTATCCTTAAATCTGCTAGTAACTGCTGATGTAGTAAAGCTGGTCCTCTCTGCCTATTTAGCATGATACGAAGATTCATTCCACTTAAGGTTTAAACCACTGCTAACAGGCTCATCTGAAGGCTTATATTTGCATGGACTGGGTCAAGTTGCAGCTGCTTTCATCATATGATATGGACAGTTGGGGGAGATCATTGATCAAAATAAAAATCACACATGTCGGGAACTGTAATCAGAATAGCGCCCTTGTGTTGAAAAGGAGCCACGCATTGGGCTGCAACTTGGCCAGCCTCAATTTAAACTGGCCACACCTAAAACCAAATTAGTGTAGCTTCATTTAGCACCTCATGCTGCAATGTCTCCTTTGATCACTAAGCAGCAGGGTATTGAAGTTGACTCCTGGTGATTTTAAAGTTTATCTTGCTTCCACAGCGCTCTGACTGATCTCGGCAAGCAGGGCTAATTTTAGCCACTCTGAAAGAGAGTGGGTTTTCATGAAGTGTGTGCTCTGTTTTCTACTGAAACTACTACAGAGGGCAGCAGTGGACTAGCGCAGCTGGCATGTTATTACAGTTTGTTACAGAACCAGCTGTTTAGCCTTCTGACAACTTGCTGCAAAGAACTTGTCATCTTTCACATTAAGAGCCACACTTTTTTAAATCCTTTGAAGCACAAGAAGAGTCCCAAACTCCTGTATACTGTTAAAATGAAAGCTGTCACTTTAAATACCAGACCCTGGCTAATGGCTACCTCTGCCTTTGGAGGCATGGGCTATTAACATGGGCTGCCTCCACAAATAGTTTTGGGATCTATAAATACAGATACCTCACCTGCTTAAGTGAGCTTATGCAAACAGATGCCTCTGAAAGAGGTCATTCAGTGAAAGATTATCCAAGATTGAATAGATTTTACACAGCTTTTAATATAGCTCAGAATTTATATTAATTCATGTCATTCATTACATCTTGCTTCAGCAAATATTTTCCAGCAATTTTTAAAAAATTGATACCTAAGACGCTCCAGGAGAGCAATATAACCGTATGACAGTGGTCTCCAACCTTTTTATACCCCAGATCACTTTTTAAATGACAGAACAAGCCAAGATCTACCACCCCACCCCTTCCTCTCTATTCTCCTCCTCTCCATCACTTGCTATCCCCAACCCTTATACTGCTGCTTTTTTCCCCAATTCTTCTGTAAGAAGAGGTTTTTCCAACATTTGGCCTGTCTAGACTGGACCAAATGTCAGAAAAACCCCTTCTTTGGAAGCCCCCTTATTCCTCGTGGAAAGAGGAATATAGGGGTGAACAAAAGAGCACGTTTGCTCTTCCACTAAAAAAAGTGGAAGAACAAACGCATCCCTGGATGAAGAAGAGTTTTTCTGGGATATCTCTGGAATCCTGAAAAACTCCTGCAGTCTAGCTGTACCCTCGCTGGGTTGAGACAGGATGTGTAGGCTCTGGGGTGGGAATGAGGGACTTGGGTGTGGGAAGGGGTGAGAGGTGCAAGTTCTGGAGGAAATCCGGGTACAGCAGGAGGTGGAGAAGGGGATGCTGGGTTGGGGAGGGGGCTTCAGGCCGGGCAGTGTTGGGGTCAGATGTAGTGTTAAGGTACTAAGCAAGCCACAGGCTTGTGGATATGAGGGTACAGGAATTTGGGTTGGGGTATGTGAGGGGCTCAGGGCAGGGGGTTCCAGTGTATGAAAGGTTCAGGTCTGGGGGAAGGGGGAGTGCAAGAATGTTATGATGCTGTGGGCAGATGGGGGCTTGGCCCCAATTGGGGGTTTGTTGGCCAGGCTTCATTTTTAAATAAAATACTATGTCAAACATAAAAAGTTTCTGCATTGTCTTTATGAGAAGGGCAGGGAACCTGTTTTGAGTCAGGGGTCACTGACCCACAGAAAAGTCAGTTGGGGCCACACAGGTGAGATGCAAAATAAAAACTCCTCCAAAACCCCCACAAGCTTCGTTAATGTGGCCCCAATTGTGCTGGTGGGAGCAGGGGACATGGTATTGTGGAAGGGGATACCGGGACAGAGGACTGGGGTAGGGTGCCAATGGGTGCTAGGGCAAGGGACAGGGGGTTGGGGCCAGTGGGTGCCGGGGCAAGGGCCTGGGGCAGAGGACAGGGTGCCAGTGAGTGGTGGGGCAGGGGGAGGGGACAGGCACCAGCACCTGGGGATCCTGCAGCTGCAGGCCAAAGTCCAGGAAGTGCGTGGGCTGCTCCCCTGAGCCCTAAACAGCACGGTACCTGAAACCCTGGTTCATCACGTCCCTGATGCCTTCCTGTGCGGACTGGGAATGGGGGAAAAGAGGGAGTCCCGGACTGCGTCGGCTCCAGCTGACGCTCTGGAGACTTTATTCCCCTCTGCCTTCTGGGGGAGGAGGGAGAATGAATCCCAGACTGCGCCAGCCCCACCTAAAATGCTGGTCCATCGCGTGCTGGGGACTTTGTTCCCTTGCTGCCTTTCTGCGTGCGGGAAAGGGGTTGGGTGTTCTGGACTGCACCAGCTCTGGCTGCTCAGGCAGCACGTGCTGCTGCTGGGTGGGTAGGAGTTAGGTGCAAGCTTCCCGAGCAGTTATGGTGGTCTGGGACTCCCCATTCCCACTCCCCGCCTCCTCTCCGACCCTAATCTGACAAAGATACCACATTGCATTTGATGCTTCAGTTATTCCATTATCCTTCATGTGACCACAAAGCCAACCCTGAAACTGTCATCCAAACCTGAAAGAAAATGAAAGCTGAATTAGAACATAGTTTAGAGATTAACCTTATTAACAGCTGTTGCATAATTTGCTCAATGACAATTTAGCAGCATTTACAAGCTGCAAAAAGGCAAATAAAATGATATAACATCCAACATTAAAAGGTGAAACAAAAGACAGGACTATGTAGCACTTTAAAGACTAACAAGATGGTTTATTAGATGATGAGCTTTCATGGGCCAGACCCACTAATAAATCATCTAATAAACCATCTTGTTAGTCTTTAAAGTGCGACATAGTCCTGTATTGTTTCAGCTACACCAGACTAACACAGCTACATTTCTATCAACATTAAAAGGGTAGGACAGAACTTAAAGGATTTGAACCTACTTTCACTATATCCTCTGAACTGTCAAGATGTAGCAGTCTCAACTAGAGATGTAATAGTATAATCAATTAACCATTTAAGCAAAAGCTTATAGGTTAATTCTCTAGACTACACACATTTTCCCTCCTCCACCATCAGAAATTTTTTTTAGCAGGCTGGCCAGCAGCTTGGCTCAGTCCTGGCTCACACTGGGTCCAGGACCTATTGCTGCTGCTGCTGCTGTGGCTTTGCATTTAAAGTGTATTAGGAGTCCAGCAGGCAGCCCGGCTTGTGCTGGGTCCGGGAGCTCACACCCACCCCGGACAGGGGCTGCTGCCGCCCTGTGCTGCTGCCTCTATTAGAGGCAACAGCAGTGTGGGGTGACAGGCAGTTGATCCGCAAGGGGAGCTGGCTTTTAAACTAGCTCCCCTAGCAGACCAGTTCCTGCCTGGCACCCTGTGCTGCTGCATCTGCTACAGAGAGAGCAAAGCAGCAGGGGGCTCCCCGGGAGTTGGGCTGGAGCACGCTGGCTGCTGGCCCTGCCCCCGGGTACTATCGAATAGTTGAGTAACCAATAAGAATTCATGAGGTTACTCAACTGTTCAATTAACCGACATTTCACATCCCTAGTCCCAACTCAATTGACTGCGTAACGCTTTCTATAAGGAGCTAAAACTGAATTCTCATTCTCCCCACGAAGAGCTGCTGCCAGGTGGCTGCTTAGGCGCACAGTTCAATCAGCCCCACGGGATGCCCACGCGTACTCGGCGGCCGGTTCGTTCCGCAGGGCGGCAGCCAGGCCGGCTCAGAGAGAAGATCTTGTGATCACGCCCTGGTCAGAGCCAGACAAACTGGGCAATACCAGGTCAGAGTCCGCTTCACTCATCATCGCTCCAGGCACCGCTCGCTCTCCCCCCCAGCCGAGTGACGGCCCCGCCCCAGCGGCTCCGCGCGAGATCAGCAGCCCCGGGACTGAGCGCGCAGCGACTCACCCTGCCCACGTGGCTCCCCCCCGGGCCCGGGCCCCTGGAGCCAGCCCCCCCCC